CTCGCTTCCCCTGTTTTTCGCCCGTATTTCGAGCCCCACTACTATTCCCCTCATGCGCCTTCGCTGACCATTCCTAGCATATCCCCATCAAGCAGGGGTCTCGTAATTTATCCCACGAGGCTCGCTTCCCCTGTTTTTCGCCCGTATTTCGAGCCCCACTACTATTCCCCTCATGCGCCTTCGCTGACCATTCCTAGCATATCCCCATCAAGCAGGGGTCTCGTAATTTATCCCACGAGGCTCGCTTCCCCTGTTTTTCGCCCGTATTTCGATCCCCACTACTATTCCCCTCATGCGTGCTCATGCGCGTTCGCGAAGCTCTCCGCAGCGCTACCGTGAAAATCACTGCATACCCCCACCAACTATTGGTCCCCACCATGGTCGCATCGTCCCCACTTTCCGGCCGTGGGATAAATTACGAGACCCCTGCCATCAAGTACTAGACGCCACCATGGTCGCAATCCCCACTTTTCGGCCGACCGAAAAAATATACGATGCCTGTGCGGTAGGCCAGGGATCTCATAATTTTTCGCGCACGGCTCGCTTCCCCTCTTTTTCGCTCGTATTTCGATCCCCACTACTACTCTCCCCATGCGCCTTCGCTGACCATGCCTAGCATACCCCCATCAAGTACCAGTCCCCACCATAGTCGCGTTGTTCCCACTTTCCGGCCGAGCGAAAAATTATGAGATCCCTGCGGTAGGCATCATTGAGTTGAGGTGCGCGACTCGATACCTACACCTACTGAACCGTCTCTCACAACTTTCCTTCGGGAAAATTTTCCCCACTAGATAGCCAAATTCCTTAGTGAAAATGTTTTTAACATCCCTGAAAGAAACCCAACCTTCGATTCCTTGTAATATTTACAACATTCCCCCACGTGTTAAACACCCGATACCTCCGCGACTTGCAGCTACCAACCGTCGATGCCTGGATTGCCTATTGCCGTAGCCGTAGACACATTGTACGCAGGTAAAAACCGTGCCATAATCCGTACGAAAGGACTTTCGCCAGCTTATTATTTTCGATTTCTCTTAACGTGTAACTTAGTTGAACGCGTAAAATATGACCCGCCGGTATGCACTCCATCTAGCATTAGTGGTAAAAAAAGTAGAAGGACATCTTTTACTACGTTCAACCAGTCAAAGGTACTTTTTATTATCGAACGCGTGTTTTTAAGGATGTATTGGCTATACAGTCAATCCCAAAAGTTTATGTACCTTAGAAATACGCATTTCCTATAATTAAAAAGAAATCAGACGTCGGAAGAATAATGCTAATAATAAATAGCTACGTGCTAAAAAGTATAGAAGGAAATATCCAATTAAGTATTGACGCTGATAAAAATTTTTTTTTTCAAAATTTCGGAAAATGCTCCAAATAAAAGTTGTTTACCTTCTAATTTCGATATTTAATGAGTTACGTATGATTATTTGGCATTTTATTGATGTTGACAAAATCCGACCATCCCAGCGTCGAAACGGCAAACTTTTGGCAAAAAATTTCATTTTTCCTTAATTACTCCTAAACCGTTGAATTTACGGGAAAATTGTATAGGAC